GAATAATTTATAAATTATGGTTATATTATTCCTTGTTCAAAGTTCAAAGTAGGGCATGCACAGTAATTTTTATGTTTCATATTTCACATTAAATATTTATTACATTTAATTATAATTTGAAGATTTGCAGCCATGTAATTGTATTCTTTATGGCTTTTAAATCTTTAATGCAAATTATTAAATCTCCTACATTTCTAATTTTAAAAATTTCCTTGACTTTTTCCCTAATTTATTTTTGTTTTTAATTATTTCCCCCTTGCTCTTTTCCTTTCCAGCTATTTTTACTATTCATTCACTTAACAGAGATTTCTTAAAGACTTTGGTTCACTACTGTATCTCTAGCCCCTGGAACAGTATCTGGCTCTTGGTAGCGTGTGTCAATTCGCTCGTATCTGACTCTTTGTGACCCTATTGACTGTAGCCCACCAGGTTCCTCTGTCCATGGGATTCTCCAAGCATGAATACTGGAGTAGGTTGCCAATGCTCTCCTCCAGGGGATCTTACCAACCCAGGAATCGAATCTACGTCTCAATGTCTCCTGCATTGGCAGGTGAGTTCTTTACCACTAGCGCCACCTGGGAAGCCCTGGCTCATAGTTGGCACACATTCAATCTTTATTCACAAATATTGAACAGATTACTGTTTCCAGTACTTTGTTTGACTGTGGCGATGCCACAGTCAGGGTATGGCCCATCATGCCTTCAGGAGACTGAGAGCCTGGATTAAGCTTGTGTGTTTCACTTATTATTCTGGCCCCACCCCCTTTCTGTAACAGAGCATTTAAATCTTTGGCTTTTCCTCCAAGTAGTGTTTTGGCTACATCACCTAGAGTTCTGATATACAGTGGCTTGATTTCTCTGGGTTCCCAAACCTATCCCAGGCAGACTATCATTGCATCAAGTGCCTTCCTTAATTCAACTGTGATTTAGGAGATGGTCTAAAAGCACCCAGATGGCTGTGGCTAGTTTTGTTATCTCTATTTTCATCATCATCCTGTGTTCTGGGAACGCAGAACGGACACTTCTGCTTTGGGTGTATTCACATCCAGCTGCTCAGTAGGCTGCTGGGTTCTTATTTTTAGGATCACCAGCACACTAACATTTCTGGAAAAAATTCTTGGAAACGTTCTGAAGGGAAGGCATGTGATTAGTACATTTTTACCAAATTTTTTTAAGTCGGCAAAGACTCCTTAGGCTTTTGAAGGATATCTGTGTTAAGTTAACCCCAAGGAGAAATCAGTAGTCTTCTTGGAGATGCTGCTTCAGCATTTTTATCATGTCATTAAAGAGTATGAATAATATTAACTATCGTAATTTTGAAAAGTAATGGTGCTATTCATAAATAATTACTTTCTGAATTCATCTTTGCTTGTGGCTTAGAAGACTGTAAAAAGACGTTTAGTACTCCTGTTTGGTTGTTCTGTGACTGGATCATTCTAAGGCTTCTTAACATCTGGATTTAGCTCCTTTATGAGCCTGAAAACTTTTTTAAAAAAATATAGTTATCAAATAAGCATCATTTTTTCCCTGCTTCTTGGAGAGCCCACCCTACCAGCTATAAGTTGAATCTCTATGCCCTCTTTCCAAAGACTATTGCTTTTTTTTTTTTAATTTATTTATTTATTTATTTTTATCACAACCATAGTGTATCTTTTTTTTTTTTTACATGTATTCCCCATCCCGGTCCCCCCTCCCACCTCCCTCTCCACCCAATCCCTCTGGGTCTTCCCAGTGCACCAGGCCCGAGCACTTGTCTCATGCACCCAACCTGGGCTATTGTTTTTTTAATCACACATTCTTTGCAGGTGCTTATCTAGTCCTCTCGTTTTATATATATATATATATATATATATATATATATATATATATATATATATATATGCTTTCCTGACACTGCTTTGTTTTGTGATTTGTTTTATAAATCTGCTTTGAAAACTGTGGGTTTATTTTATGGCCTCCAAAGAAGCAGTTATAAAGATGATGAGGTATTTTTGTTTGTTTGGTTGGTTGGTTTCTTTATTAAAATCCTTACTTAATTGATAAAACACCCTCTCCCATACCTTGAACTGTTACTTTAAAATCCTACTTATTAAAAAAAAAACCTACTTATAATTCTTCCTATTTCTTCATTTCAGGAGTTATCAAGTATTTCCAGACTCTGGAGACTTAACTTTTTGTTCTCTTTCTCTGCAAAAGTTTCTGTCTGGTTCTAGATGATCTAAGCTAGGGTTACAAATCTTCCTAGAGCCTTTGTGCTGCTGAGGCTCTCTTAGTTGCAGGCAATGACACTGCAATGACATTTTTGGGGGGGAGGCTCTTTGCACTGTTTCTCACTCCCTAGTTCTCTGTGACGTTCCCATCCTCGCCCTGGTGTCTGTGTTGGGCCAGCTGGTCTGAGTGGACAAACCTACTACCTTTGGCTCCATCCTCAGCCAGGTCCTTCCCCTCCACCCACCTCTCAGCATCTGCCCCTGCCCTCTTCCTCTCCATGTGCACTCCCCGCTGCGAGGACCTTCCCCACGTGTCTCCCAGTTTCAAGTGCCCACTACATGCCGATGACTCCCAGATGTATATACCCTTACTCCTGAGGTCTCCCGGAATCTAATTTCTAGAACTAAATCCTTGATTGATGGCTCCGCCCACAGCATGTCCAACAGCGCCTCAAGCCAGTGGGAGATCAGACAAAGATGATTCCTCAACCCTTTCCTCCTTGACGTCCCCCATCTGAATAACTGGCATCACCCACCACTCAGCTTCTTGTGCCAAAGATCTAAGGATCACCCTTGATTTGCCTTCCCCTGACCTTACATTCATCTGCCAGCTCCACCAATCCACACCCACCCAGGGCACACCAGCTCTCAGCGCCCACATTCTCCCAACCATCGGGTCAATTAACAAACATCTATCAGCTGTTCCTGTATGCCAGGCACTGTCCAAAGCCAGGACTCAGCAGAATGCAAAGCAAATCCCTGTCTCCTCTGACTTCTTTTCTTGTGGCCCAGCCTCACATCAAGGCAGCTCCCAGCTGTCTGCTGCTTTCAGTCTCCCTCCTAAGGTCCCATCTCCAGAGCCCTGACTCAGATTTCAGTGCCATACTAAAAATCTCCACCTGGCCTTGGGAGGCCTGTGTGATGTGGTTCCTGCCAGTGTTGCCAGATAGCACACAGGTTGTTGTTTAGTCGCTCAGTCGTGTCTGATTCTTTTGTGACACCATGGACTGTAGCTCTCCAGGCTCCTCTGTCCCTGGGATTTCCCAGGCAAGGATACTGGAATGGGTTGCTGTTTCTTCCTCCAGAGGCTATTTTCCAACCAGGGACTGAACCCGCATCTCTTGTGTCTCCTGCATTGGCAGGTGGATTCTTACCACAGTGCCACCTGGTTCCTCAGGTTTCCTAAAATGCCATCCCTAACTGCATCTCCAACCTGACTATTCGTTTGCCTATGAAGCGAAGACAAACAAGTGGAGATACAGGATTTAGAACATCACAGTGTCTCTGCTTCTAACTCGAAGATAACTGTCCAGTAAATAAAGGCATAGAAACCTAGAGAGCTAGCTGCATTGAGGAAGCTGCTGGCACCACAAGGGTGAGGTGACCTAGATTCTAGGAAAGTCCAGGGAGCACAGCAGTGTTGGGCAAAGCTGTTGGGTGGCTACATGAGGCTTATGGAGACACGGAAAGGTACAGCTCCTCCAGGACAAGGAAGCAGCAAACGGCAGGACCTCCACTGGAGCAGAAATACAAACGTGCTACCGGCCATCATGAAATCGTGCTTCTTAAAAAGGAAGTGCTGTGTGTGTGTGTTTACTAGTAGTAAATGATTTATAACAACGGCATCATATGGAGAAATAGCTTTCCCTGGAAATCTACAAAAATGATGGCTCTGGGTTCAAAGGCTGAAAGTGCATTAGTTGCAAGCCAATTCATTGAAATGAAACCTGACTGGGCAATTTGATGAGTGCTCATTTTGTCAAAGAAATTATTTGCTGAATTTACCAATGTACTGATTGTGCTTTTAAGAGCCTTTAAAAGGAAGCTTCAATTTGATTACTGATGATGAAAGACTCTTTTTTGCATAGTAACTAAGTGAAGATAGATAGGGCATCAGAGAAATTGACAAAAGAATTTTGAAGCTTATGTTTATGTAATAAAACACAAAGTAGAGGCTGATAAAACCTCACCCCCATGAAATACTATTTTTCCAACCAAAATGCTGACCTGTCATTTGCCATGGGATTGTTTTGGGTCTTTGTAATTTCTTTCAGATGCTTTAAAATGTGATTGTCAATTTTTTCAGGCATTTAAAGTAATATTTTTGTCAATTCTTCAGATAGCATATCAGTCTTAATTTTGTGTCTAATAATAAAAATATTTTTGTTTTTGTTGCTCAGTTCCTAATTTGTGTCCGACTCTTTGTGACCCCCATGGATGGCAGCATGCCAGGCTTCCCTGTCCTTCACTGTTAATTTTAATGGTAATGAAATTAAAACACGGAAAGGAATTGGAATTTTTACCAATCCGTCCTTCAGTGAATTCACTCTTAGAACACTGACATTTTGGTGAATCGGCTCATTTTAAAAACCTGCCACCGCTGCAATCTCAGGCCATCCCTACCCACACAGTAAAGGGCTGACTTTAATTTATCTCCCCTTGGTGACCTTATGTGCTTATCAAATGTGCTGGCTGCAGCAAGAAGGACAAGAAGCAGTGAAAGCCTTAACCACAGCATCCTGAGCAAGTGTGGAAGGGCTGGCAGTGTACTTCCGCCCACCCCTTCCCATGGCAACTGGCCTCAAATTAACTTTCTCTTTTTTTTTTAAACGCAGCCACCACCAAGTTCAAATACCATGAAAACAAAACCTCCAGCAACCACAGATTTCTAAGTCCTACTGACTGCTAAATTATCCCAAGTGACAGCTGGGCCAAGTGCAGGGATCACCCTAATGAGCTGATTCCTGGTCCGCTGTCCGCCCCCCTCCCACCCCCACTGGGCAGCCATTACCCATACAGCTCCTTGCAGAGGAGTGTGGTCAGTTTCTTCAGGTGAGGGAGACTGCTGGAGCCCGACTTCACAAAATCAGAGTCCAGGGAGAGCTGAGTGCTTAAATAATCTTGGATGGCTTTCAGATGCTCTTCTGGAATCCTGAGGGGAAAAGAGTAGAAATGACAACATGTTTACTTGGTTCCTTTATCCATAGACACCAACAGTAACAGGGAGAAGAAAAAAATCTGTATTCTCAGAGCCTGCAGCTGAGACACCAGCCTCCAGGAGAACGTTTCCTGCACCTGGACAGGCTCCCTGGGTCTCGCTGAAGGGATGGAGAACAGGTCAGACAAGCATAAAGGGCCCACAAGGCAGGCTCCCTCTTTTTTTTTTTTTAATTTATTTTTTATTTTTTATTTTTTTTTCATTTATTTTTATTAGTTGGAGGCTAATTACTTTACATCATTGTAGTGGTTTTTGTCATACATTGAAATGAATTAGCCATGGATTTACATGTATTCCCCATCCCGGTCCCCCCTCCCACCTCCCTCTCCCTCTTAACCCACCCATAAAGGCTTTTCTGGTACGTAACGTGAAAGGGAGCCATACTCTGCTGGCTGGGGATAGGAATCTTTATCCTTTGACAAGGAGACAGAAGAGCTCTGAAAATGTACAGAGGACTTGCTTTCCTGCTTCATCTATTCCTAAAGACAGAATCTAAGGGCTGAGGGATGCTCTAGTCTAGAGAAGGCAAATAGCTCCAGCTCACAGACCAACTTCCAAGTTCACCGCCAAAGGCCACCTGGAGCTCCATGTCAAGGAGGTTCCCGGTCATCTGAGGCTCTGAGGGGAAGTCTCAGTGATGAATGATGGGGCTGGGGGTATGGTAGTGACAGCCTAGGTGCTGGGCCTTCACAGCTCCAACCTCTGCTTCCAGTCTGGTCCAGTCCCTTTCAGCTTCTGGATGAAGCACATGGGCCTGAGTCAGGACCTTTCCTTGCACAGGATAGCCCAGCAGAGGCAGAGACCAGGCCTCATCGCACCAGGGCCGCCCCTGAGGCTGATCATACTTCTACATTCTATCCCCCAGCACCAGTTTTTTTCTGGCTAATTTTAAAAAATTGAATTTTTCTTCCTATAATAATGAACATTGTAATCAGAGCAAGTAGGTCCTGAACATACCATACTAGTCACTCTGCTTACCATTTTATGCTCATTTTCCTTTTTTAAAAAGAATATTTATATATTTATCTGGCTATGCCAGGCCTTAGTTGCAGCACTCAGGATCTTTACTTTTGGCATGTGGGCTCTTAGTTGTAGTATGTGGGATCTAGTTCCCTGACCAGGGATCGAACCTGGGCCCTCTGCAATGGTAGCACATAGTCTTAGCCACTGGAGCACCAGGGAAGTCCCTCATTTTCTCCTTTAATCCTTAAATCAATGTTATGAGGCAGATATTACTATTATTCCTATTCCACAAACAAAGAACCCAGGCAGGGAGGCTTAAGGATGTTGATTTACATGTGTGAAAAAATTCATACAAGCCTTTAATAGCTGTGCTCCAGCTTTGACATGCAGTCAAGGTGAAACTAGAGATCACAGCTTTTCTCTGTAGGATCCTGGAAAGAATGAAAGGTTGTTGCTCTTAAGGTTGAAAAGACATGGATTAGCCATTTTGACTTATTTAGCTTAAGTTAGTAACTATTCACATACCAGTTTTCATATTTAAGTTTAATCTATACTCATTCTGAGTCTTGATCCAGTTTCTGCCTCAGTCTGGTTTACTAAAAAGGACAAATCTCTCCTATAGCATTAAGATACGTACTTTTAACAGTTTTCATGCCTGTTGACTTGTAACTTTGAGGTCATCAGTATTTGCTTTAGGAAGTTATGTCTGTTAAAAATGTTTGTTGTCAAAAAGTGTTGACATAAAGATGTAGACTCTGTTTATCAGATAAAGTTGATTTTACTCAGTAGTCTTGTATTAACTATGATCTAACTGATTAGATCTAATTAGCTTGCACAAAAGACTGTGCGGTTTCTCTTATAATTAAGAGTAATATAAAGGCAGTCCTCGGTGTACAAAGGTATTTCACAAGCAACATAGATTAACTTGCAAACACCAGGCAGAATCTTAGTTTTTCGTGCTCAGAAGAGAACTGAGGGCAGGCACGTGGTCCCTCTTGAGTGTTCCACCTGCACACGCCCATCTCTAAGCAGAAGTTTTAGGCAAGTTTCAGGGCCGTCTGTTAGCTGATAAGTCACACCAAAGAGGGCTTCCCAGCCGGTGCAGTGGTAAAGAATCTGCCTGCAGTGCAGGAGACGTGAGATCGATCCCTGGTCCAGGAAGATCCCCTGGAGAAGGAAGTGGAAGCCCACTCCAGTATCTTTGCCTGGGAAATCCCAAGGACAGAGGAGCCTGACGGTCTATAGCCCACAGGGGTCACAAAAGAGTCAAACATGACTTAGCAACTAAACAACAACAACACATCAAAGAGGGCCACCTCCTGGGCTCACTAGTCCTCAGCTGCCCCCACCGCCCCATCTTAGGAGCTGCGTGGAGGCTTGGCTGAACACCTCGTCCAGCCTCACAGGGCCCTGAGTCCCTTAAGAAGACATGTCCTTAGAGAGGAGGGACTGATAAGGAGATAGAGCCAAGAGAACATGTGGGAGAGTCGGGAGGAGCTGGGCAGCAGGGGCACTATTGAGCATCTTTGCCTATTTCCTCAGGGACTGCACTGAATTTGGCACCTAAACCCTCCAAGACATAGAGCTGCAAGGAAACTAAAAACAATGGGCCCTGCATGGACTCTTAATAAGTATTTGTTATGCAGACACATATATCAGGATGATCATGATAATGAATCAACGTATTTAAAGCACATTTAGCTTCTTGATAAACAGAATGAGGAATTCCAGGAGGGTGCAGAGAATATAGTCTGGTAAGCCTGGAGAAGAACTAGAGGATATGTCAAGGTGGAAATAGGAAAACACCAGGTATCTTAGCAACCGGCAGTTTGTGTGTTCCTTCAGGCCTTTCCTTTGTATTTTGTCAAATTCGATGGCAGGGGAGCAGCCCTGGGTGTTATAAGTGACGCTTTCAAGTTGGAGATGTTGCATGAGCCCTGCCAATAGGATATTCTCTGGGGGCCTTTTTCTCATAAAGAAACAAAAAAAATGTTTTGAAATGATTAACGCGTGGAAATGACTATGTGCTAATTCATTCACTGAACACAGATCTAGGAGTTCTGACTCGAAGCAGGTGACATGCTGGGTGCTGGGGACACAGTTTCCCTCATGGAGCATCTTCCCTGTGGAAGCCATCCCTTGACCTGTGCTAAAGTCAGGGCCTCTGATTGGCAAAATAGCCAACACCCTCCCAGGCAATACTGCCACCTCGCATCATCCAGCCTGAGCCTAAGGGGAAAAAGGAGCTGCGGGACCTCACTGACATGGACCAGTCTGCTGCCACCCATGGGGCCAGATCCTGAGAACCCTGGGTCAGGGCAAGTGAAACAAACCGGGAAAAGGACTACATCTCACACCTCCCACCACACAGGATTCCCTGGTGGCTCAGACGGTAGAGAATCTGCCTGCACTGCAGGAGACCTGGATTTGACCCCTGGGTCAGGAAGATCCCCTGGAGGAGGGCATGGCAACCCACTCCAGTACTCTTGCCTGGAGAATCCCATGGACAGAGGAGCCTGGTGGGCTACAGTCCATGGGGTTGCAAAGAGTCGGACACGACTGAACGACTAACACTTTCCACCACAAAGAAAGGAGTGGTACGCTGTGCAGACCTCACAGTTCACACCACCCATGGACTGTTGCTCTGGCCTAGCTCCTGGTGAAAAGGATGGTGGCCACCTTTGCACGAGGCCCAGAGCAGGTCCAGGCTGCAGTGCAGGCATCTCCTCTGCTGGGACCATCTGAATCAGGGAGAGGTGTTTGGGATGGGAATAGATGTCATGTGAGTTCATGGGAGGCCCCAGCCAGGGAATCACAGCCTAGGCCCCTGAGTCTGGAGCAGGCCCATGCCATTTGTAGCAGAGAATCATCCATCATTCCAGAATTAGCTCCTGCCCTGGGGCCTGGTGGACACGGAGTCTCTGGGCAGGGCCATTCAGTGCCCATTCGGTCAGAGCCACCCTGAGAACTAGAGACACACCATCGGGAGGCCAGTGGGCTCCATGACACCCTATCCTGGGGTGGAGGGAAGCACAGGGTGAGCTGCCTGGATATCATAGGGCCCGCCAGGTGGAGACTCACCCACTGGTGTCCATGGTCTGCAGTCGCTGGAACAACGTCTCCGAGAGGCTTGGCCGGCTGACCTCGGCCGCTCGAGGGTTCTCCACGGAAGCAGGGGCCTCCTTAGCCTCGCATGGCCCCGAAGGTAACGGGATGATGTTTCTGGGTGGCAACTCGGGTGGAGACAGGGTCCCTTCTACCCAAGACAAGAGCAGGAGAGCCGTCTGGGCCGAATGCACCCTCTCTCAGCATCTCCACCCCCCTACCCCCTTTGTTGGTGATCTCCCTGCCCTCCTGTCACGTGAGGTCCAGGCCAGGTGCCCAGCCACAGACCCGCCTATGCCCACTCTGTCCCTTCCCATCCTTGCTCCTTTGCCAGCTGACTCTGGGGGAGCTGGCCAAGGGCAGGGACCTGGTCTTGGTGGTCTCTGGCCCCGGGCCCAGCATAGAGTTTGTCCCATTGAGACGCTCTGCAAGCACCTGCTGGCATAAGATGACTGCGCTGGGCTGGGCTGCTGGCCTTGGAGGGGTGGAATCAGCCGCCTCACAGCTCAGCAGGACAACCAGCCATGGGGCAGGGCAGGGGCCCTGGACCAGCCAACGCGGGGTGCCCATCACGGGAGGAGCGGGGCAGGGAGCAGGCAGGCCCCAGCCACACTCCCACCCAGGCCCCCTTTTCTCTGGACTTTCCAGTCTCCATCCTTCCTTCTCTTTCCCTCCAGACACTCAGAGACAATGGATGAGAGTGAGGGGCTCCCTCCACCCAAGTGACCAGACTCGGCCTGGGAGATGGGGCTCCTGCCCACTCACTGGGGAAAACTTCCATCATGCATGTAGCAGAGATTGGGGTGGGGGGGATGAGTCCTGAGCCCCTGGGGCCTATGACATCTTGTCCCAGCCTCTCCCCACACAGAATGGCCATCCCCACCGGCCTGGCCACAGACCTCCCCCGGGGACATCCTCTTTGAAGGATGAGCCCTGTCTTCCTCACCTGGCCTGGGTTCTTTCAATGGTCATGAGTCTGTTTAGAGCCCCACGGGGGCACACAGCACCTTGAGGAGACCTGAGCCAAATCTGACACCTTGGACTGGACTGGTGGGGGTGGGGGCGGGGGAGGGGGTGAGAGTGGGGGAGGCGTGGGGTGGGGGAGGGGGAGGGTGGGGGTGGGAGTGGGGAGGCTCCGCCTCAAGCCAACAACAGGGCCTTGCTTGGGGAAGTTGAAGCTGGCCATCGTGAGATTGTGCTTCTCTTTCCAGTTCTTTCAGGGAGGACTTTTTCAAGTGTTGGGGTCTTTTTCTAGATCACCATGCCCAGAGGGGAAGAAATGGGGGGCGGTGTGTGTGAGATGGAGTGCAGAGGGTATTTCAGCAGGATGGCGTCTCAGTGTTGAGGCCAGCCTGGACTCCTGGGGACCGCTGGGTGACACACGGCCCCAGGCACAGCCCTGGCCAGTGCCCCAGACTCACGGTGGATGTGTCAGCTCTGGCTATGTCACAGCTGAGGGCACCTCTTTTTGGGCCAGGGGAAGCGAGAAGGGGCACAGCTGCCTCAGCCTGTGAGCGGTCCCCCTCAGCCCCTGCAAACCTGAGCACCTTTGAACACACTTTGGCTGGGCCTCACCTCCAGGAGCAGGTGGCTATTCAAAGCTGACCCTCTGGCGAGGCCGCCGAGGCGTTATGCAATCACTTGATGTGGGTCTTCAGGGAGGTAATGGAAAGAGGGCCTGCAGAGGTGGGGGAAAGGGCACCCCGTGGACGGCTGGCAGCAGCCGGGGACAGGAGGAGCCAGCCCGGGGACCTCGGCACCTCTGGTCTAGTCTCTCCTTGCGGGGAGACGCCCAGGGATATTGTTGGTTCCAGGCCCTGGGACCTGGGACTTAGGGGGATCCCTGACCAGTTGAGAGTCTCAGTTACGTATCTCAGGGGTTTCTTTTAGGACATGAACAGTAAGGGGAAGAGAAGGGGAGCTCCCTGTCCGACTCTTGCCTGTGTGTCTGTCCCTCCAAGTTAAAGCAGCAGGACTGACTCTCAGATACCTTTCAGGGGCTGTACTTTCTTGTTTGTTTGTTTTAATGATACTCTCACGAAACACCTTTCTAATCCTTCCAGTTTGGTGCAATGATCTCTTCCTCCCTCCACTTTACAGCAAAATTCAGCTAATTATTTTGACAATGATTTTAATAGCATCGAGTGTTTACTGGGTACTAGGCTCTGGGATCTACATTGACTCATTTGATGACACCGAGAGGAAGACATGATTTTTAGTGTCTCTTTAGGAGAGGTCTGTGGTTCGGAGAGGTCAAGTAATTCATCCAGGGTCACACAGCTAAGAAGATGGGGAGCAGGAAGTTTGACCTAGGCCTGCCTGACCCCAGAGCCTGTGTTCCTAACAGGTCTTTAACCACCATGTCACCGCCTCTGATAACTGGACCCACCTAATCTACAAGCACTTGAAGGGAGAGAAATACCCCAGCACTTAACCACAGGACTCAGATGGCAGGGACCCAAGGCACTTTCCCTCTGACTTTCCTACCTGTCTCCTCTTCTGGTTCATCTCCAGTGTCCTCTTCCTCCAGGGGCACAGGATACTGCAGGTGGGTCACCAGACCCATGTTTTCCTTCTTGTAAAACTCGATGAGCTGGTCCAGCTTGGTGAAGAATCTCATGGGGACGCCTTCGGACGCCTAAGGACAAATCCCAAACAGAAGCACATTGAACTGACTGGGACACCACCCAACCACAAAGGCCACCTGCAGCAGAGACCAACGAGACCGAGGGAGTGACCACAACCCAGAAAAAGTCCTGGGCTCCCACACAGGGCCTGGCCACCATGCCCACACCCTCACAGCCTGTAACCAGCAGCCCCTAACAGCCAGTCTGCAAAAGGCACAAATAGAACGGTAAAAAAATTATTTTCTTTTGGTTTAAAAAAACACTTTTCTTTTAAAAAGTACTATGTTGCAGAAATAATGCATTTTTGTTATGGAAAAAATCTTAAATACATAATTTAAAAAAATCATCTGTAGTCCCACAACCCCAAGAGACATATTTTCAATGGTTTAGAATATTTTTTCTAGACTGTTATGTATCTGTGTGTGTGTGTGTGTGTTTGGTAGGGGGAGTTATTACCCCTTCTCCCCCAAGAGCAATAATTTTTAAATACAGGAAAAATCCATTCTAGCAATTGTTTTATTTTTATGTTTTTCATTCGACATGATTCTGTTTTACCAAAACTCAGAAAATGGTCAAGGCAGCACAAAAATCTTCCTGATTTGTATCTCCGTTGCTAATGACAGGGCCAAGGGAGGTTAATTCTGGGTTGTTCAAATGCCCTGGGGCCGGGTCTCCTTATCTCTTGCTCAATGGCTCCAGCTGGAAACTCAAGTTCGGCTGCAGTCGTTGTCACCCACAGAGGCCCCGCCCCTGAGGAGGCTACGCCCCTGCTGAGGCCCCACCCACACGAAGGTTGCCACCTCTGTGATTACCCTTCCCGGGTCATCAGGCAGCAGGGCAGGATGAAGAACTGCAAGCAGGATATTTAGGGTCTCCTGGATGCTGTACCCTACGGCTCCTAACAGCATGCCCCAGCATCCTGCCCATCCTCCCTGTCCAGTTCCCTGATCCACCTCCCCTTGGTGTTCCATCCCAAGGAACCTGCCCCACTGTCTCCCCACTGGTCCAGCCAAAGACCCAGAAGACTGCCTCCCCCCCACCAACACACAGAGGGCAAAGCAGACAGTGTAAGGAAGGGAAGACATCCAGAAACGGACCAAGACCCAGAACCTGTCCTTGAGCCCTGTTCCTGGTGGTAACCCCAAGTCGTGATGAGGATGTGTTTGCCTTCAGAGATTCCGCTTCTGTCTCTTCCCTTTAGTCAGGCTCCACACTGGCCTCTCCATCTCTCTCGCCACATGTATTTGTGTGTGTAGTACAATGCACACACGTATAAATTATACATGAGGGCACATTTGTGTGTTTGAGTATGTGGCTTAAGCTATTGAGTAGACTAGTAAAGAGTTTAACAAAGAGTGTTTTGATTATTTTCAATAAATTCCCTTGCTTTCACAAAGCCCCACATTAAAGCAATTTCTTTTGAGCATCATCGAACAAGAGAGATCTCAGCAGCAGCAGCCAGGCTACCTAAAAAGTAACCTAAATAGGTTCAAAACCCAAAATGAGAGGCATAACAAAAATAACTTGACATGACACAGGGTCAATGAACTCGATTCACTTAGAGCAGTCCTGACAGGTGTCATATTGTTAAAGAATTTACAGCTAATGGATGACAAGCCATTAGGCATATGGAAAAAGGATGTGAAATATCAAGGAAAGTCAAGGTGAAATGACTCATGTGTGAGTCTGGAACAGGGCTCTTAGCTGGAGGATGTCTGGGGAATGTGTGTCTGAGACAGCACATGAACTGTGGGAGTTAGATGCCCTGATGCTAAGACACATATTATTTTATGTACTGCTAACAGCTAAAGCATAAAACAAGATACACCATCATTCTGTGGGCACAGCTGACTTCAGAGATGTTTACATGACAAGCATCTTAAAGATGATGAAATATGCTGGATATTAAGCATGCAGAAGAACACTTCTGTGTGTGTGTGTGTGTGTGTGTGTGTGTGTGTGTGTGTGTGTGGTGTGTTAGTCTCTTAGTCATGTCTGACTCTTTGCGACCCCATGGACTATAACTTGCTAGGCTCCTCTGTCCATGTGATTTTCCAGGCAAGTATACTGTAGTGGGTAGCCATTTCCTTCTTCAGGGGATCTTCCCAAACAGAGATTGAACCCCAGTCTCCCACACTGCAAACAGACTCTTTACTGTTTCGACCACCAGGGGAGCCTGCAGAAGAACAGAAGATTCTAAAATTCACCTAAACGCTATGGATCCAGTGAGTGGGGAGTGCTGTTGGTGAGAGAGAGACACTGGGCCCCTGCCTGTGCTAGGACTGAACACAGAGGCCAGGGAGCCACAGTCTGGCGAACGTGGGCTGCGGACCATCCAGGTGGCCCAGGTTCCCAGGAAGTAGAGAATGAGTCCGATCTCCAGGAAGGGGGAGCTAACCGAGGAGTGGGCGTTTGGTGGCCCTGTGTGTGGAGGGTCACCTTCCTGCACGTGTTGTATCACAGCTCCCAGGAGGGGAGCAGCGAGGGCCAGCCTCAGGCACCTAAGGGACAGGGCTGCAGGCAGCAGATGACCCCAAAGCACAGACTTGCTGTGCACACGTGAGTCAGTGGGGAGGGAGCAGGCTGTCTGAGCAGGTGGACACAGACACACGGACGCAGAGAAAAGGGTGAAGGCAGGACGCCAGTGGGGCCACAGGGCTCCGTGGGGGAGATGTCCCTGAGAAAATGTCCTCATAAGTCTCTGTCATTGGCACTGAGACTTGAAGGGCTTCTCAGACACTCCTTGAGAGCTGAGGTTCAAAGCACATCCAAGAGGGGCAGGAGGAGAGAAAGGTCAGGGTGTCCAGGAAGGAGCAGCCCCGCCACGGCCTTCTCATGCCTGTGCTGGGTTGAGAAAGGCCCTCCATCGAGGCAGGAGGACAGCCAAATCAAAGCCGACACTGGGAATTGGGGCTTCCAAGAGGACAGCGCCTTGACCGTGGGGAACCGACGCCTGGTCAAGTCCATATGCGCCTGCCCGAGGTGCAGCCCATTGTCGGGGGCAGGGTCTGCTTGCTGTCATGTCCCAGATGGAGCTGCAGGGCCGGACTGCTGGGGCAGGGGTGCTTGGCGATTAGTGCTTGGACGGACCTGCAGTACCGGGGTCAGGATGGACACTTGGGGGGAGAGAGGGACAGAGAAGGCCCTCAGTGGGCCTGGGAGGGGGTACAGAGAAATGGCTGGGGGAGCGGAGGTAGCAGGGGAGCACTTCCCCCCTTTACACTGCTCCCCCAAACTGATCCCCCGAAAAGTGATGCCTTTTCAACAATTTAATGTAAAATGTCTGACTTTGAGGTTGTCAGATTCAGGCAGGAAACAGATGCCATGTTCAGCTGGGGGGTTTGGGAAGAATTCTAGTGGATGGGGTGTAGGAATACCAATAAGAGGGGGTGTGGCCCTCCACCGCCAGCGAAGTGGGGCCTCAGTGTCCACTCTGGACCGATCACGGGGGAGGGTGGACTCGGGACCCTAAGAGGCTGCTGGCGCGGGAGCTGAGCCTCTGTGAAGCCAACCCCCGGACCCTATAGGAGGGAGTGGGCGCGGAAGGCCCCCACCCTCCATCACCCAGCTGTGCTTCGCATTTGCCCAACCCAACAGGAAACCGGGAGACTCGAGGGCGTCTGGGGTTGAACGCAGCCAGCAGCCGCACACGGAGCCCGGGTGAGAAGACGCCCAGGAAGCGGTGGGAAGGGGAGTCCTGCGGGCAAGGGCAGCCCCCGCAGCGGGGGGGACCGGACAGGCTTCTGGGGCAGGGGCCGCCCTGGGTCCCTAACAGCCGCCAGACTGCCTTCCTCATTCTGCAGCTGCTGCCTTCCTGAAGAGATCCCCCAAGTCATTTTGAAACAGAGAAGGAAATCCTGAAGGCCCACGCTAGCCAAGCACTGTGGACGCTGCTCTGCGCAGTTACAGATAGAGGATTTCTGCTCCGTGACAGCCCTCGCTCCACAAACAAATACAAATGCCTTCTCTCTGGAGCAGACGCCTGGCACACAGATCAGACAGCATGATCTGAAAAAGCCCAGAGCAGCAACTCCTATGGTAAGTTGGCTTTTCATTCATGATGTGCGGGGCAAAGAGCAGGCAGCCCTCAGGGATTGACTGAATGGACATGACTTTATGTTCATCACCAAAAGTGATACAGAAGGGGAAAAAAAACCACACAGTTAGTTCAGATCCTGAGACAAAACACCTGACTGATTTCTTGCCTCCCCTTTCCAGGTCTATGGAAATTTCCAGGTGATTTCCAGCAAGATCGTTTCAGGATCTGCAGACAGTGACTCATCAAGCCCAGCCGGGCCTACTCCCTCTACAAGCTGACAAGTTTTTGAAAGAGAGGGACTCTGCTTGGTTCAGCCTCACATGGTCGCCCAAGTGCCTTGCGAGGGTAATGACAGGCCCTAGCCCTGTTCAGAGAGATGTGTGCCTTGCCTAAAACCAACCTCACCATTGAAAAGCTCTAGCTGGAGACACAGTAGTGTGGCTTATTGAGCTGGGCCGGGAGAGGTCCCTTCACTCTAGGCCTTGGCACCTGTGCATACCCACGTACAATACTCCTGGGAAGGTGCAGAGCACGGGAGGTGGGTGGGGGACGAAGCCCCTACACCACCCAGGCCACCAGGGTCTTTAAAACAAAGGACAGCGGGTGTCCAGACTGTGGGTGGCTCGGGGCTGCGGCCTCTGAGAAAGGCTTTGTCCCCAGAACCAGTTCTTGGGCTCTGACTTTTGGGCGTAGTCCAGATGGAGGGGAAGCAGGGCAGGGAGGCCAGAGCGCTGGGCAGGCTGAACTTTCCCAGAAGATAATTTTAACTTCACACTGTCTGCTGCCTCTAAGTGGGGAACTGAAAGGAGGCAAGCCTCACCAACCCCTCCCAACCCCAGAAGGAAGCCGACTAGGGGGTCAGGAAGAGGCTGCTGCCTTCATTGTAAAATGAGAAGTATATAGAAGCATTGTGGAAATTTTACAAATAATGGGCAAGTGTTAAGAAGTGCGGTAGGGGAGGGGATTTGCTCA